TAGTTGCCCTGACCCCCACCTATGGTGTATTCCTCCTCCTTCCCTCGCTCCGCCAGAACTGAAAGCAACTGTGGGTCTCTGCTCACCTACAAGGGACATTCTGGGTTTTAGCTCATTTTGGTTTCTTTGCATCTCCAGCTCTCAGATAGATTAAAAAGCATGATGCTTTTGTTTGTACAGTTTGTTGGTGCTATTTTGGTGGTAGGAGAGACAGATGCCTTATGCCCTTCCACATCCTAAGTAGAACAGAAGTGAGAGGCCCCAGTCTATCATTTCCAATGCTTTACCTAGAGAGGGACATTATCTCTTGCAAACCCCTTAGGGACCATCAGGGACTATCTCTAGGCAGGGCTTTAGATAAAACACTGCAAATTTGGATAAGTACCATGCTATGAGCTAGACAGTGGTGTTACCCTGGGGCTAGGCAGGGACAGGACGTATAAGAGAACAGCAACTTAGAAAGATATCCGAGCACGATACACAAAAACTCAGACTTCAGGTCAAGTTCTACTGTTTCATAATTGTGTAGCTCTGGATAAGTTGATTTCTCAGAACGCTGTTTCCTTATCTGTAAAAGACAGTGTCCGCAAACTCAATACCAATGGAGGCAGGAACTGAACTGGCTGAACAGTGATGGTGGCGATTCAGAGAATGAAAGATTCTGTAAAGAGGCGTCACTGCTGAGCCTGGTCACAGAGGGCTCAGGGGCTTATGTTACCAAATCCCCCAGATGCAAGTAAAGCTGGAACTTTATGGCAACTGATTCCATTTTTTAAAACTATTATTTGGCCCACAGTCCATACACCTGGGTCAGGGTGTAGTCCAAGGACTGTCATTTTATAACTCAGGCTTTTAACTCTGAGGGCCCCTCAAGTGTAGTAACTGAGTGTTACATACCTTTGCTTTTGGCCAGTAACATTTTGGTAGTCAAAGGCTCTAAATGGTAGTTGTAGCAGTCTTTGACTAACAAAAATTAGAAAGTAAATTAATTGTTGCCTCATGAATATTGTTTTTTATATGCAGCTTTTCAAAACATGAGGTCATGGGAGTGCGGATGATAAAGGGCATCCTGGCTTGGTGAAGTGGTTGAAGATCTGGGCTAGGCCACCCAACACTCATACAGTCCCCACGCAAAGTGGCCCTTCAGTGAATATTTGTTGTACGAAGGGATGGATGGAAAGATCACGGGAGAATCATGGACGGGCGTGTGGATGTATGAATGAATTATGGGTGGGTGTGCGAGTGAATAGATGGGTGGGTAAATGTGTTGTTAAAGTCTCACTGAAAGTTCAGAGCCTTCGACTCTATGCATAAGTTAGAACCACATGTCGGGGGTACTCAGAGAATGTGTACAGTTTTTGGCTGACTCCTGCTTTCAATGCATCCCCTCTCTCCTCCTTCATCGCCACGTCGCATTTGTTGACACTGCTCATTCCCCCTTTAAGTCATGTTAGACAAAAAATGTTAATGGCTCAAGTGTGCACACTATTTGCTCCTGGTCCATCCTTCCCTAGAAGTGTCCTGACTCTAGACCACATAATACAAGGACTTAGTTTTCACAAGAAAAGCATTTCATGCCACATGATTCCACCTACCCATTCCCAATAATGGTGTTATGCAAAATAGCAACAGAAAATGAATCTGATAACCTAACAGGGAGGAAGATTCTGGGGTTTTTGAAGGAACTTGGGAAGAGAAAGGATACAGGGAGAGGGAGAAGAGATGACAGAAAGAAAGCACATCTTAAGAAAGACAGGGGTTGTAAAATAATTGGACCTTTCCCTTTCCTTTTACACAATAAACATTCTTCTCAAAACTGACAAAAACATTTCTTAAGGGGACCCTTATGATCTATTTATCAGTAGCACAGGTAAGGGACATTTTTCATAGCAAGGCACTTATTTCTAGAAAGCTAGACATTTTTAAAATTATAACTCCTCGCCAGGAAGCCATGGCACAAGATTTACAGAGAACGTGAGTTTTGAGAAATAGAGATAATTACTCTGTTTAAAATACACTCAGTGTCATTACTGCTTCCAGCACAAACCTCACTACATTAGATCATTACAATGGTGGCTAATTGGGTGATTTTTCTGCTCTTTAAGGGCAAGGAATATATTTCATCAAAACCACTTTACCACCAACTGAGCTTTTTGAATATTTAAAAGCTGATGACCTATGACTGAAGTTAATGCAAATGTCTTTGCTTCTAATGACCAACCTCATGAACTGGTGATGAGAGGAAGATCAAGGCTAGCTGAGTAGAAACTCTAGGAAATACCCCCAGAGAAGTCTATCAGGGCTCCTCATGGTGAAATCAACCTTAGTCTTGATCTTCAGCCCCCTGAGCACCCTCAGGACTAATGGAATGAGTGTCTCCTTTTAACCCAGATAGCTACAACTGGAGCTGTGGAAAAGATAAACCAAGAGGGCCCAAAACAACAGAAATGTCACATCCCCAGGGATCGCAGCAATGGCTCCCTCCAGCCACCAGGGGGCTCTAGAAGGAGGAATAACCTATTTCTAAAGCAGTCCTCGTGCTAGGACCTCACCTCTGCACACCAAACTCAAATGAAGTCTGCAGATTACAAGAGATTCTTTTTCACACATATTAATAAAAGTAAATATGGCTCTCATCTTAAAATTACCTATGGAGGCAGGAGGATGAAATGGAAATTGATTCTAGACCTGCTCTGTCACATGTTTAGAATAGGAGCCATTGAATTAGGACCATGGGCCAAATCTATCCTGCTGCCCATTTTGCCAATAAAGTTTTACTGAATCACGGCCCACTCATTTATGAATTGTCTACACCTGCTTTTGCTCTACAAAAGCAAAACTGAGTATCTGCAATAGATACCATATGGCCCAGAAAACAAAAAATATTTAACTACCTCGATCTAGAAGAATCATTTAGCCTCAGTGGGTTTTAGCACTGACATCTATTCTATAATGTGAATGATACATCTCCACATCCTCTTGTTCACAGGATACTAAGAGGTCCAAAGATGTCTCAATAAAATTTTTCTAAATAAAACTCTTATTAGGTACACACCTATTGAAACGACTAAAATTCAAAAACACTGACAACACCAAATGCTATCAAGATCAACGGAAATTCTCACTCATTGCTGATGGGAATGAAAAATGGTACAAAATGGTACAGTCACTTTAGGAAACAGATTGTCAGTTTCTTACAAAACTAAACAAACTCTTACCATGAATGCAGTAATCATGCTCTTTGGTATTTACCCAAAAGAGCTGAAAACTTCTGTCCACGCAAAAACCTGCACATGGATGTTTACAGCAGCTCAAACTTAGAAGCAACCAAGATGTCCTTGAGTAGGTGAACGGATAAATAAACTACGGTACATCTAGACAATGGAATATTATTCAGTGCTAAAAAGAAATGAGCTATCAATCCAGGAAAGACATGGAGGAACCTTAAATGCATATTGCTAAGTGAAAGAAGCCAATCTGTAGAAGCTACAGAATACTGTATAATTGCAACTATAAGACATTCTATAAAAGGCAAAACTGTGAAGACAGTAAAAGGATCAGTGGATGCCAGGGATTGGGGCAGAGTGAGGGGGTGGATGTGACTCCCTTACCCAACAACTCTCACCCTGTGATCCCTAGGACACTGCTGTGCCACAAACCCCACAAATGGATATTGGAATTTTATTTTTACCTCCTGCGTGCTTGTCTCAAAATGTAAAAAGAGTAGTGAGAGTTTCATATATTTTCAACAAAGATTTTCATTAGGAGATGATACTCTAAAATTACCCATTTAAATGGCAGTTTGCTTTCTGAAATCGGTGCAATGTTTTGATGTCTAATCATCTTTATGTCTAAGAATAAAGGTCATGTTCTCCAAGCTGAAATACCCTGCCTCCTCGAGTGCCCACGCATGCTCTCTTCTCAGGTTCACCAGCAGGGGGAGCACCTGCATAGAGTAGGGAGCTCCGGCACTCCCTAAGGAAGCGACGGCTATTTTCCAGAATTCATAATTCTGCTACACTCTTTCCTTTATGATTGCCAGAGGCCCAGAAGAGGGAAGTATCTCAGCTCTTGGAGTTCTTCATCAATACCCAGCATAACATTGCCCATGCTTGCTATTACTATCAAGATGAGTTTTTCTGTGATTTGCACAGAATCCAGGATTTAAATTCTAGTTACAGACTAGAATATTTGAATTATCTGAATTCCAAGTTAGCAATGATTCCTGTGCATGCTTCATTTTATTTCCTATTAGAGTGGAAGCATCACACAGTGCTGAAGAGCACAGACTCTAGACCCACGCTGCCTGAATTCAGATCCCAGCCCTGACACTTACAGGCTGTGTGACCTCGAGTAAGTTGCTTACCCTCTCTGTGCCTCAGTTCTCTCATCTTTAATAAAGGAATAACCATAGCAGCTATCTCCTAAGCTGTTGTGAACATGAAATGAATCATTATGTGCAAAGTGTATGCAGTGAATACTGTACGCAATTTTGCAACTGCAACCACTACTGCTCTGTAGTTACATCTTGAAGCATCGCAGACAAGGAAAGAAGGGGCAGGTGCTGAATCTGTCATCTGGAAAGCAGTTCAGTGAAGGGGGTCTTGTCAATGAATCCTACTCGGAGACAATGCTTCCAGCAATGGCCACAGGAGGGCAAAAAGTAATGCATAGGTCAGATTAGAAGGGTCTCTCACTCACCCTGGATTTCACTTTCAGAAATGCAGGATGGCTGGAAACCCATGTGGGCAAGAAAACATACGGCTCCAATAACTGCTGACGGTTCATAACCAGAGGCCCAGGGGACCACACACTATTGAGATTGTTGTTGACGGAGGACACCAGGGGGTCCTTGGCAGTGCCCAGAAATACTGCTCGCCACCTGAAACAGTCTCCCCATTTGTTACAAATATCTTTACTTCACAGCACGATTTCCACGTCCCCTGCAGTAAGAATACATTCTCACCCTCATCATTTTCACAAACATCTACCCATATTACCTGAGTTCATTTTTATGAATTTCCACTATTTTTCTTTCCAGCTTCTGTGACTGCTTGGGGAAAATCTCAAACTCACTGATGTAATTCTCAGGATGCTCATCAGGATCAAAATCACCGAGCTCAGCTGTAACCAGTAAAAAAAAAAAAAAAAAAAGGAGAAGGAGAAAGATTAAAAACAGCAACACAAGCAGGGTGCATATGGAGTGTCTCCCACACCCCAGAGAAGGGTTTGGAATGATCTCACCCAACAAGAGGTGTTTGTTCCATGAAAAGACCACAGGCTGCGTGTGTAGAAGCTCATTTCCCACTTCAGATGTAATGTGTGAGCTTGGGCACTTGACCTTTTCTGAGTCTTGTTTTCATATGTATAATATGGGCACTCAAATCATTGTTTCTAGATGGGGGCACTATGGGTATTTGGGGGGCTGTTAAAAAAAAAAAAAAAAAAAAAAAAAGGAGAAGGAGAAAGATTAAAAACAGCAACACAAGCAGGGTGCATATGGAGTGTCTCCCACACCCCAGAGAAGGGTTTGGAATGATCTCACCCAACAAGAGGTGTTTGTTCCATGAAAAGACCACAGGCTGCGTGTGTAGAAGCTCATTTCCCACTTCAGATGTAATGTGTGAGCTTGGGCACTTGACCTTTTCTGAGTCTTGTTTTCATATGTATAATATGGGCACTCAAATCATTGTTTCTAGATGGGGGCACTATGGGTATTTGGGGGGCTGTTTCAGATTTTCCGAGGCTCTGTCGCACACTCAGTGCTCCTACCCTTCAGGCACTACGTGCTCGCAGCACACTCATTCATCCTGCGTCAAAATACCCTCCCCCAAGAAGTAAAACAATACAAAATTTCAGTTGTGTAGGAGGAATACATCCAAGAGATCGACTGTACAACACGGAGGCTACACAAATAATAAACCAATCATTTTATAAGAAGGTATGCAAGGACAGAGATATAGATGAACTCAGGTGCTGCCCTTAGGAACAGAAAAGGAGAATAATGAAAAAAGGGAAATCAATCAATCAACAGATGAACCCAAAGGGACCAAATGAGGCTAGTGGGCCGTGAACTGATGATTAATTTAAACTGAGTTCCAAAAGAAATATACATAAAGCGCTTACACACGCACACTCACTGGCACACACACGTGCCCCTGTGAGCTGGGTAAGGGCCTGAATATTAGGAGACGGCATAACCCAGAGCCGCACTGTCTACAGGTAATGGGGTAATGGACCACCAGTATGAAACGGGGTCACCTTCAATGTCAGTGTCAGCTTGCTGAGTGGCTGGTGAGGGAGGGTGTTGTTTATGGGGGGCACTTCTCTTTCCAAGAAAATTTGTGAGGTACAATGGACTTTTATTGCTGAATGCTACAAATAAGTAGCCTGGTAAAGGCCAGAAGACTTAGAGAAGAAACACCACGGGAACCACGCAGGACTGCTGACGAGACGAGACTGACATCTCCCCATCTCAGGCCTGTGTTCTCTTCCCGGGAAGCTGGTCTGTAACTCTCACCTCCACTGCAGGACAAGGCGTTTGAATGAGGACTTCTAACTGCTCATCGCAGGAGCTGGGTAGGCAGCTGTGGTTCTTTCTCCTACACACAGCTTTTGAAGGTAAGGTTGTTACAGACAACACATGGCACACTGGATGGCCTGAAGTTTGAAACAGGCCCTAGTACTTTTCTGAGAGAATTCAATTGCCAGAAAAGTCCAGAGACTGAAGCCCAAGGGTGAGTCGGGTCAGGGATGGTGACTCTAAAGGGCAATGGCAGTTCCCCTAGTTTGGAGAGGACTCATCCCAAAAGAACTCCAGACATGGGACATCACCACTCCAGGGTACTCTATACCTAACCCATCCTTGCCGGGTCCGGGGCCCTCCCGAGGGCGCTCATAGCAGGGACACAACCTGTGTGTCCCTTGATTTAGCCATGAACACCATCATCACAATGGTTTGTTTCCACGGCTGTTTCCCCACAGGGACTTGGCACTGCAGTGCCTACGACCTAATGTCTAGAGAACAAATGAACAAATGGATGAATGAGGTGGTGAACACCTCCCCACAGGTGACCAACAATCTTGGCCAAGTACAGAGAGAAAGATAACGCATGCATTGGTGCAATCTAGGCCAGTGCCCTGATGTACTTAGCACAGTGCAGAAACTACTGTGTGCCAGACACCAGAAGACTGCAGGGGAAAAGGTACCCAGAGTCCTACTCCCACAGAATTAGATAGAAGGAAACACTCAGCAAGCCCCCAAATAACTTCACAAGAGCATGTCAGATATAAGTGCTTTCAAGACAACTAAACAGATGTGAGAAAGAACGATGTGCAGGAGGGAGACTGCTACACACAGAGGAGTCCAGGAAGACTTCTTGGAGGCAGTGACATCTGGACTGAGTTCTGACTATCCAGCAGGAGCCCAAACATTCACTGGGGACTGAGCACACCAGGCAGAGGAGACAAGTGCAATCCCTCCACGGTGCTGTCTTGTAGAAAAAACAGGAGAGAGACTTTTACCAAGAAAGAGTGTAAAGAGATCCCAAGGATTTTGTGTGTCTGTTTTGCAATTTATGTTATGAAGGAAAATGCATTGCATGTGTTGTGTACGCTGACTGGATTCAGTGTGTGCAGGCAGCAAAACTGGTGAGTGGCTGCTGTTCACACACTCAGAACATACTGAAGCTCAAAACATACTCTTCAGAAGAGTGTGAGCAACCAAGACAGTGATAAGCCACCCTGCCTCCTGCTTCCTGACCATGTACTCCCCCATCCCTGTCACTCTGTAGAGGAGGAGGAGGAGGAGGAGGGAGGCTCCAGCAGCCAGAGCTCTGCAGCCCAGAGCAATGGGGGGCTGGTGTGGGTGAGCCATGGCCAGACTTACCTTGAACAATACAGGCACCCAGGTAGGCAGCATCAGAGAAGGAACACAGCAGCCGGCCGTGGAAAATATCTCTCTTAATCTGCAGGTACAGGAGGTACCTGCAATACAAAAGGAGAAGCAGTTGCCCTGAGTTTTGGCTGAAGCCAGGACAAGGAGAAAGATTGTTCACGCTTTATCCTCCTGGATCACCGGAGCCCTACCCAGCTCTGGGAGTGGCTCAGACACGCCAAGCCCTTCCAAGAATAAGCAGAGAAAAGCCGAGAGGGGCCCTCTGAATTCAGGATCTGAAGTGTCTGTAGCCAAGCAGGACTTACCAGCTTCCAAATCTGGGTGGGCTCAGACTTTCCAAAGAGGCGGGAGAAGGAGTGAGGAAAGCCACAGGCCCAGTGGCCGCTGCTCCTGGCAGGATCTCCCACACGATGGCAATCACAGCCACCATTGTCACCACCCACACCTCAGCTACATGCTGCCCAAGTTCTGCTTGAAATGGAGAGTCAGGAAACAGATCCAGTCGTACACTAAGACTTGCACCATCCTTTCTCAGGGCAGACAGATTCACATTAATCAACCCCAGAGAGACTTGGCTGTGAGGCCAGAAAGCCAGCTGATTCACAGGTAGAGCTGTTGTCTGTGTAGTGTCCCCTCCCACTCTCCAGGGATGGCAAACTCAATGGAATATGATTCTATGACACAGACAAATGATGAAAAGATCATGCTAAGTGAAAAGAAGCCAGACCCAAAAGGCCACCTCTTATATCATTTAATTTATATGCAATGTCCAGAACAGACAAATCTACAGAGACAGAAAACAGATTACTGGTTGCAAGGGACAGGGGGAAGGGGAGATTACAGAATGACTGCTAGGGTACCAGGTTTCCTTTTAGGGTGATGAAAACATACTGGAATCAGATCGTCGTGGTAGTGGCACATTTTGTGAACCTACTAAAAACCACTGAATTATACACTTTATGTGCCAAAAGAAAGTGGTACTTTTGAAAATCTAAATTGCCTTAGTGTAGTGGTTCTCCAATTTTGGCACGCTTAGAATTACCTGGAGGGTTTATGAGAATACAGATCACAGGGCCCTGCCCCTGGAGTTTCTGATTCAGTAGGTCTGGGGCAGGGGCCAAGAATCTGCAATTCTAACAAATCTCCAGGTGATGCTGATGCTGCTGGTCCAGGGACCTCACTTTGAGGACCACGGCCCTAGCCACTCAGAATATCAAGGTCACACAAATACTTGATCAAATCTTTCCGTTTTTTAGGGGCTGTAAACAACCAGGCCGAAAACCATGAGGTTTCTTTTCTGTGTTGAATGTGTATGCATCGAACATAAGAGCATTCATTTCTACTTTTTGATGAATTTGGTAGTGAAAAATAGTTTCACGTAAGTATTTACTGATGAGTGAGAGGTTTGGGTTCTAATTCCATAACTCAAAAGTCAGGTTTGATGAAAGCTTCCTGAGAAAATAAAATCAGCTTTCATAGTGTCAGAGCTTGAATCTTTGCTCATATCAGTGATCTCTGGAGATAAAGATTATTGTGGATTCAACATAATCCACTAAGCCTTATAAAGGGCTTCAGGTTCAGGATGCTCATTTTTTAATACGACAGCCACACACACACACACACACACACACACAATGCGTCTTCCTTTAGTATCACTCCTGCATGAAAGGATTAAGCAACAAAAACACAAGAGGATCTGGGGTATAAACTATCATGCCACCATTAATGATGATGCTTCTCTACCCAATGTGAATTTAAAGATGGTTCTCACCAAAAAAAATTTTAAACCAACATACTTTGGGTTACATTCAATTTTATATAGCATTTACAAAAGCCCCAGAAATCTAAAGGATTATAAGATGATTGCTTAAATGGAGAGATAAAGGAAAGATAAAAAATTATTTCCAATATCCTTTTTTGTGGGTATTTTTGTTGTTTTGATCTTTTAAACCTGCCTCTCAGTGTGTCTTTACTGTTAAACATGGTTATGAATGTGATCTTAACTTCTCATATGTTAAATTCTTCTCAAATTTTAGATTAATCTTACAATAAACAACTTTTCAGACAAGAAAAACCAAACACCTTCAAGAGGAGCATTTATACCATCAGTATCTGAGGCATTCCACTGTTTCTAAATTAGTTGGAATTCTAAGGACTGTACTGACTAAGAAAAACACATTTCTACCTATGAAAGGGTAAGGGGCCACCTTGTTTCTTTTGGAAACATCAAAATGTTCACAATATCCCACTATTCACACCTGAGAAACTCAGTCAATGGCAGGAAAATGCTAACAAATCTAATTGAAAGAGGCTTAACTAGGGTTAATAACCCTAATAATAACCTAAACCACTAATAATTCTAAACCCTAATAACTACTAAAACTTTGCATTCTTTTCTTTCAAATAGGACTTTTCTCAACAACAACAAAAAATCCATCCGTAATTTATATTGTGACACATATTCAATTTTTATCCTCCAGACAAGATTACACAGAAAACAGATGACAAAAGTGAGTCATTAGATTTGATTTGACCTTCCTAATTACACTGTTAGCACCCCAAGGGCAGGACAGGCCCTCTCTTTCTCTCCCTGTCTCTCTTCCCCTCTCGGTAGCTCATCCAGCTTCTGCTCCCTGGTAAATAGTAGGAACCACAGAAGAATTTATCAAATTGATAAATGAATTTTTCAAGCCAAACGCAGTCCAAGGCCACATATTGTACATTCCATTTATATGAAATGTCCATAATAAACAAATCCATAGAAACCGACAGGAGATTAGCGGCTGCCAGGGGCTGGGGGAGGAGAGAATGCAGAGGGACTGCCAATGGTCTGGAGTTTCTTTCTGGGGTGGTGTGAATGTTCTGGAACTACACAGTGGTGATGGGTTTCCAACACTGTGAACGTACTAAATGCCATGGAACTGTACACTTTACAATGGCAAGATTAATTTATATCATGTGAATTTTACCTCAATAAAAAAAAAAAAGCAAGCCAGTTTGCAAAATACCAACCACTTAGAATGTCCATTATCTATTACCCTCCTTTCCATACACGCACACCTCTCCTCACCCCACCCCAGCACAAACCTTACTAAATGGCTGTGGGCAAATTAATGATAGAGAATAGAACCATGTGCTCCCTTCCAAAGTCACCTCAGCTCCGCTACGGCCAAGCTTTGCCAGAGACTCTGGATGACAGGAAAGCAGAATATCCAAGAACCCCAAACAGCCCCCCGTAAACGATCAGAGAAGACGACATTTGTACCTAAGCAGGTTGTTCTGGGAGATGACTATAAAAGTGATCGAGTAAAAATCATTCAATTTCTTTATGCCTCAATTAATTTCAATAATGAAAATAAGATGACAACTGCTTCACAGTTATGTTTTTGGAGTATAATAAGGTATTATAAACTCTAGCAGCACATTTTCTTTTCTGAATTTTATTCTTTTGATATTAAAGCTTTCTACTTCTAAAACTAATAAATGTCACATTTCAATGAAAAGCCTGCACATAGTGATTACTGCTGTCCCTGAGTCAGAGTCTCATGAAGAGCTAGGTGGTGAGAGCTCCTGACCCACCAGGCACCAGCCATCCCTACGCGACCCTGCTCAGCAACGTCTGCCCAGGTTGTTCAAAGAAGCCAAACCCCCAGGAGGCGGAGGTCCGAGGACTGGAAAATTCAGAGCGTTGGGCTGAGAAGAGCCTAGGAGCAGAAGGAAGGCCGCCCCCCAGTCGCTCATTCAGCAAGTGGAATGCAGGATGACAGAGGGTCCGCTCCATCAGGTGACTGACTCCCTCCCAGAAGAACTGGGATCCAACAGGCCAGGCTGCTAGCAGGGAATCTCCCACCCCTGAAGACGGCTCTTCTGTGTATTTCTAGCACCTACTGTCAGATGTTCTCAGAGAGCACCTCCCCCTCAGAGCCACTGCTTCTTTGTGCCATCCGTTATACTCAGTGACAATTGTCTGAAAAAACCCCAAGACAATTCAGTGGAAGAGAAGCATTCCATGTGGCCTGGCTGAGTCGCTCCACTGTGGACAGGTGTCTGGCCTGGAACCCTCGAGGCCCTGGCTGGTTAAAGATGCACGTTAAACATACAAACAAATGAAAAATACCTTGTGAGCTCTTCTTTAATCTTCAAGGGCTCGTGTGGGTAGAATTTCACTCTAAAGCACATGGTGAATGGTGGATGGGCTGAAACGTCATAAAGAAAAGGTGTGAGAAAAGCGGCAGGAGACCACAGACTCAAACACACAGGAGGGTCGCCACGAAGCCTCAAGGGCCTGCCGGGTGGGGGCGGGGAGGGGGTGGTTTTCTGGAAGAAGCAGACAGGATGCCCGAGAAAACAAAGCAACAGTGACAGCAAAACTCAAAGAAAACACTTGACGGGACGCCCACAGCAAATGCAGAACATGGGTGATCTCGTCAACAAGGACATCTTTCCACGTGACAGCTCCCCTCACGCCTTCATTCCCTCCAGTTGCAGCCCCAGGGAGCATTTTCTCCTCTGATTCTTCCCGCCCCCTTGTGACAGATAAACTGCCCGTAAGCGCCATTCAGGTTTGGGGGTTCATGAAAGATTATTTTAGCCTGCGAGGTGGAAAAATGTCACTGCACATGACTAGTTTTCTCCAAATGATGGTGCCTTTGAATTAAAACTGAGATTTAAAAAGTGGGGTCAGCCATGCACAGATCCTACTTTGTAGACTTTTAGAATTATCTGTTTATGAAGCAGTGACCTGTATGAAAATAAATACTTTTATAATTTGCCGGGTTTGTCTGAATCAAGATTAGCACTATGTAGACTGTAATTCTGGTTGAGGTTCATGATTCTGGAATATTCTGATTGCATCAAATATCTAGAACTCAATGACCTGCTAATGGGATTCTACAGGATATCCAACACCTACAATTATAACACCATTACTGTCTTGCAATATTACCCTAATAAATGCATGCAAATGTAGTAAGACGCATTCAGATTTCAGTTAACATATGAAGAGAACATCTTAAAATCAGGGAAATATGATGGTTAGAATTAGTACTTCTATGGATCTAACATACTGGCTTATTTGCCTTTGTATCAGTACAACCACCTGGAATTCACTGAGTCTCCGTCCAAATGTGGATATGAAACAGCAACCTTTTCTCCCCAAATTCCTCTTTCAAGATAAGCAGGGGTTAAATTGCCAGCCAACCCTACAACGTCTGGGCTATTCTGGATGTAGACAAATTCTTTACTTAGAAAGAACATCAGCATCAAATATGAATGTATAATGAGGAAAATTTAATATGGAAAACAATTATTAAAAATAATTTTACAAAAAGCATCCAAATCACAAGAAAATACAGCAGCATCTTACTGGCTATCTCAGCAGAGAAAAACTGGTCTCTCTCACACACACACACACACAGAGACACACACACACCACACACACGTGTTAGAACTCTTTCCATCCAACACCTTACTTCCCTTCCCTGCCAGGAGCTAGCAAGTTTCTTAACTGAGTTGTGTGCTCCTAACCTGATCCTGTGTTTCTTTGTCCTTTCTTTTTTTCTTAACATGTATTTGTACACACTTGTGGGGTAGAGTGAGTTGTTTCAATACATGCTGTGTTTCTTATATTTAAGAAAGGAAACATTTTTCTGAAGCATGAGGAGAAAATGGACACTTTCTATACAGCAAAGAAACGACTTAGAAAAATACAAATGACTCTCAAGTCCTTCATCTTTCGTGATATCTAGAAATTCAGTTTTAACTCAAAACATGTTATCTTTAAACAAGCCCCAGATTTCTTTTTAGTTTGTTTAAAGCACTTTTTATTATAAAACCTCTGGATTGTCTTTAGTGGAAAGGTTGAGACAGTTTGTGTAAAAGAACAACAGAGCCAAAGACAGAATTAACATGGAATTGGAAAGGAATTGTCTCTTTCTTCGGGTTTTATCGGAGTCCTCTGAATCAATACATGTTTAGCCAATGAAGACAGAGAGCGAGAGACGCCCCCCGCGCCTGCCCCTCGCTTCCCTTCAGCCTCTCTGGTCCTCCCCCACCTCCTCCCATCCCCACACTCTCCAGCCGACATCAACAGCTTTGTCTAGGTCCTTCTTCCCCTTCTGCCAACTCACCAAAGATATGCCAATGTGGTTACATATAAGGAGCGATTTTTAAAATTTTATTCTCAGAAAACAAGATCAGCCTATATATGTTTCTCTTGCTTTTCTCACTTAACTCGTAGATACAGATGGAACTCATAACTCCCATAATAACTGTACGGTAGTTCACAGTATGGAAACATCGGCATTTACTGAGCTACTCCCTTTTAATCATCATTCAGGTTGCTTCCACATTTTTTCAGTTCAAACAATTCTAGTCTACTTCTACATCCTTGTGCGCAGATCACTAAGTACTCTTATTTGTCTTTCTATGATACAGACACCCAAAAGTTGGACTGCTGGATCAATGGGTATGGGAAAATGTTTTAATGAGAGCAGATAGATAAAGTCAGCTGACTGAAGGTGTGCTGGAGAAAGAGGATCACAGAAGGTGGCCCCAAACTAGAACTGTCCTTCCTCTTCCCCCTGGTCAGCACAGCCCCTTCCTGTGCCTTCGGTTGGCTTCAGTAGATGTCTGAGCTCGTCAGACACAAGTCAGGACTCGCATTCTTCCTAAGAGGCAGGCAGTGAGGCCCTGAAGAGCTCTCCAGGCAGCAGCTCCACATACCGCTGAGTGTAGGACGCCAGGCCTGAGGCTCCAGAAAGGTCTGATGCTTCTCCCACACAGAGAGCCCTTCCGTCACGTGCAGACAGTGCTCACGCTCCTTCTGAGTCATAAATAACACCCCCAGCTCTTCTAACTCTTCCTCCTCCAGAACATTTTGAGTGCCTGCCCCTGTGCCTCCCTGGAGCGCTTTCCTGTCTGCTCCGGGCTCCATCGAGCCTGACCCAGGGCCTGTCCACCTCATTCTGGGCCTCATTGCTGCCTCCTCCCAACAGCTCCTCTCACGGTTGATCTGCTCTGGGTTTATAACGGACCCACACTCTTCATTCCTTCCATATACGCTGATCACACAGAAGTCACACAGAAAACACCACCAAGTTCCTGACATCCCCCTCCGTTTTCTGGGATGTGACCACAGAAGAAATTAACAGAAGTTACTAGTAACATATCACTAAACCCATTACCAGAGAAGGGATGACAGCTGGCACAGAAAACACAGGAGGAGGAGCTTTTCAAACCCAAACTGTCCTGTTTCTTTTCTCCTACCACCGTGTACCCCCTGCTGTGTTGTCTTCTCATATCCGTCCAGCAACACTGACCCCAAAGAGTCTCCCTGCAGGTTAAAAGGAGCACCTGGCTCCAGCACAGTGAGCCGGGAACAGCCCAGGGACCGCACTGACGAGAATCTCAACCTTAGCACACAGGCCTGGAGGCCACTGGCAGGGCCTCCTCCTGGAAGCACTCACTTAAGGTTCTGGATGCAAAATTAAAATATACAAAAAGTAATAAAGCTAAGGAATGGTTCTTCACAGGGTTGGAATGGGCAGAAAAGATAAATATTTCCCTCAAAATGTCAATCTAGTTATGGATGACAAGATTCGTGAGGGTATGGGCCTATATATCTTGTTTAACTTCTGATCCCCAGAGCTCATTATTGATAAGAGATGGACTCTCTGCTTGTCTGGCTAAATGAATTAATGAACAGTGAGGCAGACGTCCAGGGGAGCAGCCAGGCCCTGGGTCTCGTTCACCCCTTGGTTCCCCTGACAGAGTCACAATATTGACTGAGAAGCTCCGTAGTCTGAATCACTACTGCAATTCCTAGGATTGACTTTCTGTAAACCTCTAGTCCTATATCTCAGCTTCTGGCCTGTCCTCCTCCACATCTGGAACAAATTCAGATACCCTAGAGCTGTCTACAATAGCTACTTCTAGAGGGAGGATTAATGAATTCAACTGAAAGATATTTATCGAGCACCTACTAGGTACCAGGCACAGTTTTAGATGCTGTACAAACAACAGCAGCTGTGAACAGACAAAAACGCCATCCTCATGGGGGACATATTCTAGTGGGGTAAACAGAAAAAGTAAGTAAATATCCTGGACACCAGAAGGTCATATGTGCTATGAAGAAGAATGAAGTGAGAGGGGACCCACCTTTGTCCCCTCTCCTCATCCTCACTCCAACCACATCCCTGATGGTAAGTGCAATTCTCTTTACTACCTTCTGGAAAACCAAACAAGGGGAGAAATGAAACCACTTAAAATGTTAAAAGGACATTAAAAAGGACATAGGGTGGGGGGATAATCTTTAAACCCAAGGGTGGTGGCACTGGTTTGGGGTCAAAAGCCTGTCATTTGAGAACTGGCATGAGCCCACACTAGCTGTGTCACTGCTGAAAAAGTAGCCTTCCCACAGTTCACCTGGCAGCTGTCATTGACCCCCTGAGACATGTCCAAGGTCCTGAATCCCCTAGGGAGGTGCCTATCCCTTCCTCCCAGCTACTAAGTGTCTCTGCCCATTTTGGCTACCATGTCTTCTTATTCATAAGGTACAGGGAAAGGGGACGAAGTGAAGGATAACTTATCTGTGCCAAATAACTGGTGCAGAATCAGTTGATGGAAACGTCTGATGAAGGAGCTGTTTGTGGACCAATAAAACCCACACCCTGCACCAGGCCGCTATCCCAACAGTGTTAGCACGAACACCCACCACGTGGCTTTACTAGACCAGGTAGCACAGCTGCCTTACGGGAGCGATGTTGTGGTCCACCTCTACTGTGGTGCTCAGGCTTCAGCATCTGTGATGGGGGCACACAGGGCAGTGGGAACCTCAAATCCTCCATGAACGGGACTCCAAGTTTTGAAGGAAACTTCAACAGTGACCTTGAGCAGGCCACCTAACTGCTTTGCTTCCTGCTCTGGAAGAGGGGATAGTACCAGCTGCCACATTTACCTCCCAGAGGTGTCTAGATGAGATTTTGCTTTGTGGGGATAAACACTCCTACCAGAAAAAGCCAAGGAAACGGGGTGGAAATGGGAGAGACGGATGGGGAAGACTGAATTGAACTCAGCAGCTGAAGAACATGTACTCAGCCATGTAAGTGCTAAAAATGGAGCATACCACTGAGTCACAGGAAAAAAATGCACAAGTCTGCTTTAAAAATGCCAGGAGCATGTAATTGCATGG